AGGTTCATTCTTTTTATTTTTTTGCTAAATTGAAAAAGATTTCTGACGAAAAATATAAGGATAGGAAGAACCAAGATTTGACATCTTTATGTGTTTTGCGAGAGCATCAGTAAATAGGATTTTAGCGAGAAATACTTTTCCTCAGTACTTCATAATTCACTAGACTAATCCAATAATATTTAGAGCGAGAACCAAAAACTAGTGAATGACTATACACCGCAGTGAGAAGAGAAACATTGTCATGCGAAAGTAAGAAACTTTTCTCATCGATGAGTGAGTGAAATCAAGTTTGCCAACCTAGAAGACGTGTTGGTAAGTTGAATTTTTTCTTAAGGAACTATTCAATACCTACCTTACCAACACGTCTTCTAGGTTGGCACTATTTACTCTCACTAAAATTCGAATTAGTAAAAGATTTCTTTAAAAAAAATTTTAAAAAAACGATAAATTATCTATTCAAAGCTATACATTGTATAAGAACCCATAATAGAGAGGAAAGCTACGACATTCTTTTGCAATATCCGCATACACGTAAACTTCTCGAATGAAGATGAAGAAAAGAAATTTTTTTTTTTTTGGTTTTAAAAATCAATTCATTTTCAAATGTCTCCTTTGATATATATTTTATATATAGGATATATGTCGTTTGTGTTGGAGATAGTTTGCCGCATATTTATTACCAGACGATTTCACGCGTTTGTCCACACTTCCGACAGACACAAAGAGATAGCAATAATACGGGAGGTCAGTTTACCTACGTGTCTATTGGCAGACTTCGAAGGATCAAAGCTCCCTATATGTATATATCGACCCACACATTCCGCTCGATTTTACAGTTAACACCAGGTAGTGGACCACCCTCGAATTCCGGTTGATGTTGCCGATCAGATTGCACAGTTGATAGAATATACATAATATTCTAGTTTCATCCAACTTAACTTTTCTTTATGAGGCAATCACACCAAACATTTCAAATAAAATAATTAACGACTTCTATTCCTTTAATATAATATAAATATTGACAAACTTTTGATTTCACTCTTCACGGATTTATTAAAATAGAATTTAAAAAGGTAAAGAAGAAAATAGAAGACTTTTTTTTTTGTCACTATAAAAATGATGACACTGAAGTTACCAACGTTGAATCGACGAAAAGAATTTTTTTTTCTTCCTAACATTGAACATTTTCCCGCCTTGGTTGAGGATTTTTAGTGTTTAAGGATGTATTTGAGACTAAAATAAAGAAGTTTCATTTAAAAAAAATTGGTTCTTGGCCTTTAAACTAATCTGAAAACGAAAAATTTGTTCGTTGATTCGTCGAATCAACATTGGTAACTTTAGTGTCGTTAAAAATGGATAAATATCCTTGATACCAGAAGGTTGAAATTTGAGAATTACTATATCTATACTGTAAAAACTTGAAACTAATTTTAGATAATTAAAAAAGGGCTAAGAATATAAATTCGATTCAATGCAGAAACGTAAGTAAAAACACCTGTAGAGTCTGTAGATTGCAAAAAGGGGTGGCCGGTAAAATCCAATGCTGATAAAGCTTGATACCCTTGTTCCACATTTCGCCATATGATGGCACCACCCCTCAGCTTAGCCAATTCCTAAACCTTTAACTAGGTGGCAGCATTGATTAAACAATGTTCAAATAAGTCATTTTACTCAATTAATTTTAATTCGATTCTCATCATTAAATTAAAACCTATTTTTATATGCAAAATAAATTATAAATAAATTTTAACATATTAATTCAATAGTTTAAATAACAACATTAAATTATTCGTTATTTACAAATAAATTATTTACAATATAAATAATTTAATAAAAAATATTCAACGGTATATAAATTTAAAATTTCTTTTTTAAAAAAGAGAATTGTTTTAATAATCTATTTTTAAATCTATATAGTCAGTTTTATATCAGAATCGATGTTTTTGTATATTTTTTTTTTTAAGGATATCATCCTTTTTATTTGCTCTCGTTATTTTCCAATATATTCTTTGATATACGTATAAAGTCTATGAAATACCGGAAACAGAAGCGATGGCATAGAACAGAGTAAACACTGAAAATGGAAATTCCTGAATAATTCAACTGGAAAAATGATGATTCATCCGATAACCTTTTTGAAGAAAACAATTTTGTCTAGAACGATTTCGGTGTTTCTACAAAAGAACCAGCTACCGTCCAATTTTCTACTCGAGGAAACTTGTTTTTTTTTTATACAAAACACACTTGCATTTTAGTATTATAAAAATTTAAATAATTTGCTATTTTTAAATTATTTCTTAAATATATATTTTTTATGTTTTTATTATACATGTTTCTCCAACAGAAAAAAATTGCCAAAGACCTCCTATAAACGTTAATCAACCCTAACTTCTCTTTCAACGATACATTAAAAAAAATTCTTTTTTTTTTTATAAGAGATTAAATATAAGTTTCCTAAATTGACATTACATGTTGAGACATTTTTTTAATGTAAAAGCAAAAACATTAATAGTCGAAAAAAGTAATTAAGAATGATATAACTCAATGAGATGCATGTTAAGACGCAGTCGTCAGAATGATCGCGAGACTAAGATAACAAGTCGATCGACCAACCTGACGCCTCAGGTTCTAAGTTGTTGGTCGTCTGAGGTATAGTATATATCTTAAGAAGAAAAAGAGATTAAATATCGATTCATCCCTCGAACCAGATTTTGCCTCGTTAATCTCACACAAACACCGCTCTTCTATATGTCTCTATTTTAATTCAGATAAACCTTCAACAACACGATCTTCTTGTATTTCGATAAAAAAAATATATAAATTCTCACGAAACTTATACATAATCTTTTTTTTGTATTAAAAAATACTAAAAGTTAGTTATAAAATAAAAATACCTTCCAGATAAATTGATGGGATCGTAAGATTATTTATAATTAAATAAAAATTAACAGAAAAGTACAATAATATATTTGTACCGTAAACAGGGTCAAAGTTATAGTGATTAACTTTTTTCTATTTCAATCAGTGAAATTGCAGTGATCAGTCAAAGGAAACAAAATGTTTAATCACTCTTCTACAGTTCAACCCACAGTGAAAGATTGAATTGGCTATTTGATCCCCAATAAAATTTCTTTAATTAAAATCGTGAGAAATTACTAGAAATTAATTTAAAAATAATACAATAAGAAATTTTTATAATTAATAAAAAAAATTCATACATTATCTTTATCGAATTGAGTAAGACGATTATAAAATCATTTATTTGAATTAACAAAAGAAAGTGAGTTTGTAACGATAAAAATAAGATATTTAAATTTTATCAGGTGTTTAAATTTCTAGATTTCACCCCATGAAATAACTGCGCGATAGTCATTTTCAATTCCTCGCTTCTGATTAGACTTTTTGGATGGGTCATTTCAGGCGACGAGGTATGTGGCTCCCTCATCCTTCTGCTTATCTCAAGTGTTTCGAAATTGGGCATGTTTTGCTTCTATTGTCCCTAATTAGAAGCCGTTTAAACGTTCGCCTAACGAAATGACCGGTCGAGAAAAAAAAAGAAGATCAAGATAACGATAGAAAGAAAAGGAATGGTCAACGAAACAGTTCTCTTCGCATTCTGATCATTTCGAGTTGATGACAACATTTCTATATACATGTCTCAATATTTGCATTATATTGCACAAGCAACTTCTAATTTTTCTTTTATTTTCTTGCAATTTTTTAAATATAATTAAATATATATAAAAAAAATCAAACTTTTAGATATTTAAATATATTTTTCTATTTATGTAGTAAATTTTTCAATTAAATTATTTTATACATAAATACACGAGGAGAAAAGAATTGGATGAAATAACGTTCGTTCGTTTCGTCAATTTTTTTTATGATATAAAAATTCAGATAAACGAAAATTTTGTTTTTTAATGAAAAATTTGATTGAAACAAAAATTTAAAGAATGTTTCGAGTGTGTGTATTTGGAAAATTCATTTGACAGGTGAAATTTCATCCTTACACCCTTTAACTGTCTAACGTTATCTTGCTTATCAAAAGCGACATTTGACTTTTCGCAAGTGTCAACTAAGATTTATTAAAACCTAGCGTGAGTCGACGATAAGATAAGAAAACTATTACGAGGCCTGAGAGAATTTTTTCTCGGCAGCACTTTCTTCGAATGAGTAACAACGTACAAGAAAACACGAAGGAGGGATCTATCATGATATATACATATATATACCATCGTTCAACTAGTACAGATCAACAAGGATAAGAGCATGTATTTAAGAATGCTTTTAAGAGATTCATTCGGGTCCCTAGCTACTATAATAGATAGTCAGAGAGAGGTATCTTTCTAAAGCGTAACATCGACCCTCATGCTTTTTTTTTGCAAAAAAAGGACCACGAGCCGAGGCATTAAAAACGAGGACAACTAGCTCTCTTTCTTGGATTCTTAAAATCCAAAAGGAGATAACATTTCTTTTGATGATGATCTTCAACAGAATCTACAGTAAATACTAAAAGCTATGTCAATATATATATACGAGAATTCTCATTAAGATAAGTAAACAATTTTCAACTTTACTGCAAAGTTATTTAACAAATTTTCGAAAATTTGTTTCAAAAACTCACAGAATCAGAAAATAAATTTTTTTTATTAATATTATAATATACGATATATTTTTGTTATTTTACTTGTTAAGAGGAAGGGGATATAAAAATATTCACGATATTTTACTGTAACTTTACATGATATGAGGGAGAGGATATAAAAATTGGTTAAAAACGGGTGATGTAATTAGCCGAACGATTCTAACCTAAAATTTTTTTTTTCAAGAAATATCGTTTTTTCTTACTATCCAAAATAGAAATAATTATTGTAATTATATTGTTTCTCAAAAACAAATCCCATAAAAATATTTAAATCAGATAATACAATGTTTTGCGAAATTTGATTAAGGTTATATTATTTTACAAATAACGTTTCAAAATAATAAAAACTCACCCTCTAGCATGTTGTGTTATAATTTCCTTGAAGATGTATTTCGTCAGCATAGATAGTAGCATGATAATCCCTCGTTGAACAGTAAAAAAAGACGACTCCAAAATCACTATATATTACACTCACTCACTCGCCACTGATTAAATTCCACGCACTACTTATTAAACTTATACTCACTCGCCACTGGAAAAATTCCGCGCACTACTGAATTAATAAATAAAATTTTCCTAATTTAAATAATAACTTCTGTCTCTCCCTCTCTCTCTTGTTCCATCCTTTTAAAAGTCATTCTGATTTTATTAACCCATTAGGCCATCGTCTGTTTACAATTTAGTATACACCAATATAATGTTCCCGAAATTCCAGGTAGACTGCAGGTCAATGACATATATATGCGAGCCATATTATCGATGATATTGCTTTAATAATAAAAGCAATATATAATAAAGTCCGAAAGTTTAGAGTGAGGGTTAAAGGTCCTGGGAATCTAGAAGAGGGTGTCAGGTATGGAAATTTAAGGGACTGACATAGGTGTGTGGGAGAATGTTGTCGCGACGAATCCTGTCGACTGGTCGCCACCCTGACGCCCGTTAGCTTGTTCCTTTGAGCGGCGGAGAGAACGTTTACATTACTCGACCCGACGAATAATAATATTATGAATCACATATACCTTATATCCCCCGAGAGGCTATATGCATATGAGCCACAAAGTCAAAGGTTAGCCCGCCTCAAGAAGACGCGTTTCATTGTCCTTCCCGCTCAGTGCAAAATCTTGCCGCACCCTTTTTTGTTAAAAAAAGAAAAAAAAAGTTGCAATCTAGGCAAGACCGATGATGAAAGATATATAAAACTTGATAAAGCGTACGAATTTGTAATTTCTTCTTGCGTATTATTATATTGGTATACAATTTTGCACTATTATTAATTTTTAACAAAGTTCCAAACAAATGTTCATTAGATACAAACGAGATAAACCGAATACTAAAAAAATTTTTAACGCGGGAAAAAAAACCGCGCACTGAAAAAATGCCTTTCATGAATTATGCATAAGAATACTGGGGTACGTGGATATGTAGAAAAAAGGTTCAGTAATTTCTTACATTTGCGAAAAATTCAAGAAAAAGTTATTTCTCAAGAATCACCATAGGTTGAAGACAAGAAAATGTGGAATACTCCAATATTTATATACAAAGATGGCGTGACTTTAGAGACGAGAAGGTAATGACGAAAATATTCATCTCTAGAAGGAATCTCCTTGTTTGACAACATTGTATACACACTAATTTTATAAATGAGATTTTGTCGAAGATGAAAGTTAAAATTTTAATGAGCAAACACTTTTTTTATACTCCAAATTTAGATATTTTACGTTACACAATATGTGAGAGAGGAAAAGAACGACATTAACGTTACAAACTTAGTCACAGAATAATCAGCAAGCAAGATTGGGAAACTACGCGTTGAGAAATAGTTGCGCGCTTGTGATTGGTGGACAAATTTCTCGAACCAATTAGGAACATATATTATATGACACTACCCAACCTTGCTTCCTGAACACTCTTGTGACAAACTTCACGTCTTTCTCTATAAACAATAACGGAAAAAAGTGTCTGTTTGTTTATCAAATATTACGGTAAATTATTATAGATAAATATGAAACAAAGTTTTTTTCAACTGTTTGCATTTTTACCTTGTTAGTGTTGAGTTTTTTTCTATGTCATAACCATAAAGTTTCGAGAATTGGAAAAGATTTATTAATAATAAAATGAATGGGCAGTAAGAATACAAAATGAGTGAAATGTAAAGAGAAAAAAAACGACGGGTGTAGAATTTTTCATAATTTGCAGTGTGCAGCTTCTGGTGGGCCTCTTGTGTATATAGTCAGAACCACAACGCCCACAGAGAGAGGGATAACGAGGCAAAAGCATCATCGTTGTGAAGGTGAAGCAGCAATGGACCTTAACAGAAGAGTCGGTTTGAGAGACATAATTGATATCTCTGAAGGTGAAGTAGGAGGCGACTGAGTTATCCTGTAGGAAATTACAACAGCGTTGAGTCAACGAGGACACGAAAAGTCAGATGGACCACCACGATTGTAAGTAACCATAAGATCTTTTGCAGGCCGACCTAAGACCTGGCGGCTATATGCTTTTATATACATCTAACCAGCATTATTTAACTCCCTCAGCGGCATCGTAATCTTGCACAACTCTGAACAAACATAACCCCTCCTCTCCTCCACCATAATTGCTAATCACCACTTGCCATCGTCCACGGTTTTTTGTCCCTTTCATTTTCTTTCCGCGCCTTGATCTTTCCGACCCGAAATTCAGACAGGTGATAAGAAACACAACCTTCATTCATTAGGTTCTCACTCAATTTAATATCAATTGCAGTCAATTTCAATTTATAATAATTTATGTTAATCGAAAATTCTAACCTCAAAACTGTGTTGTCGAAAAAACATCAAGAAAGTATCAGCCAAAAGTTTTGAACGTTCAAATGAACGAAATTTTTTTTGCAACTTCTTTATGTACGAATTTTATTACAAAATATTTTTTTAAATATCTAAAAATAAGTTATTAATTTAATAATTGTTGAATTTATTGTTTTAATTTTACATGGTCATCATAATTTTTAATAATTTATAGATTGAAAAAAATATTTCGTTCATTTGAACGTTCAGAAATTTTGGCTCATAAGAAAGTGAAAATCACTCCTCGAAGAAAAGTTTAAAAATAAAAAAAAAAATACAGTAATCTTCTCTGTTTTGAGTTTAAATTGAAAATTTCGTCTTTTCACACAACTTTCTCGAATTTCTGCTTCATTGCACTTTATAAATCCGTATAGGTAGCCCAAAAGTGACAAACGACATTTTTGAGAAGTCTAATAAGCTGTAAATAATTAAACTTCGTGGATATTAGCGCGTGCCTCAGAGATGACACTGATGCGAATCCCAGTGGGTGGCCTTTAGGTCCATAGATATCTTCGTTCCGGTACCTTTTGTAGCTTCTTGTAATCATGTAATGGGCCGCCTACTAGGTTCTAAATTAACAGCAAATTAGTGCCGCGTCTGCGTCTTTTATATATTTCACCAAGACTATTTCTCCTCATAATTTTAATATGAAGCAAAAATTATCCCATTCTTCTGAGGACTCCAAATTTTTCAGTGCAATAATAATTTTTTCCCTTCTATCGCAAAAAATAATCTCACAATAATATAATTCAGGATTATTAAAAAATTCTCTTTTTTTTTACTAACTTTTTTGTCTATAAAAATTCTTTTTTTCAAAACATTTGTCATCAAGTTTTCAGTTGCAAAGTCCCAGAATGTCTTATTTCCAATCAATTAAATTTGATCGTTTCCATTTATATCCGTCAATCTTTTCTTAAAGAAAATATTTTTTCGACAATTTACTTTGCTGAAAATCTTGCCCTCGCAAACATATCCGATATACATCTCGTTCACTCTCTCTTATGACATTTCAACTGAAATTTTCATTTTCTATGGTTAATCTTTGTATTTATTAGATGCAATTGGAATTTCGAGCTTCTTAGTTGCTCTAGTCACCCTTTTGTGGTTTTCAGTGAATAGGATCAGAATCTAATCAAGCGTGAATAATCCAAATTTACCTGTTAAAGAAATCATCGTCAACAAGCCGTGAGGGGGTATATACGCGGTTTGGATGAAATCGCATTTACTTTTTTTTCTGGTTTGAGTTCAAAACGACTCTCGAGGACCATTCATGACACCGCTTTTGTTGTCAATGGAAATCTGAAAATGCGATTTCTTTCACTAACTTCCTGAATTGCCCTTCATACTTGTAATCGTTTCCTTTCAGTTGCACTGACACACAAGGGCGCAATATAAGATTAATTTTTTTTAAATATATATGGTATACCGAGAAAAATAAGATTTCTTGTTTAGATTTTATTGTAAAAAAATCTTTAACATCATTAAATTGATATTATATAAAAATAATAAACTTTGCAATGTAACAAAATTTTTAATTTTTATTAAATAATTGTATTTTTCATGACTTATTTTTATTTAAATGTCAGTTAATATTTCGGAAAAAAAAAATTATAGCTCTAAAGAATAGTTTATGTATAGACAATGATAGTTTTAATTATTTATAGTTTTATAGAGTAGACATTTCAATGAATTTTAATAACTGATTTATTTGTGTTTTTAATTTCCAGCCTCATCTCGTGAACAACTTGTATCTCAATATTCTTTTGAGGAGATAATCAAATTGCCGTAAGCGAAACCACCTTGTTTGTGCTCATAAATCAGAAATAGTCCCTCAACCTCGGTCCTCCCACATAGATATATAAGGTAAGGTCCAAAACTATCTAAGCAGCACTTTGGCTTATTATCCCTAACCGTTAAGGATAATGAGGCAAAGTGCTGCCGACCAGACGATCTACCAGCTGAACCTGTGTGTCCTCAAACTCTGCGGTAGGTATTGTATTTGAAAAACCACTATACTCTCTAAAAAAAAATATTGTGGGAATATTCATCACTGCAAAGCTTGAGGACATTCTTTACAATATTACTGTGCAGAGAATAATTTAACATTTTAGAAAACCAAAAAAAAATATGTTTAACAGAAAAATTTCAAACTAAAATATTTTTTGGTAACTAAATTCCTTCGTTAGTAAAAACACAAACCAAAATACATTTTAATTTAAAATGTTTAAATAAAATAGATTTTATATTTTGGTTTTTCAAATGCCATTAAAAAAATATTTTATATTAATATTTCAATTATTTTTTTAAATATTGAGTATACTAAAAATTAATTCTCGTTACTAAATTTCGCACAGACGCAAGATGGGTTGCCTGCAGTGCAGGCGTAAGTTTTGTAGCATTGTAGTTTCCGTCTTTATCAGAAAACTTATATAATTCAATAATTTTGAAATTCAAATTAAATTGAATTATTATTTTTGTTATTACAAAAAGCAATTGCTTGAATTTTGCTGTTTCGATTTTTAAAAATTTTACATTTTTTTATGCTATTAAATTAATAAGTATAATTAATCAAAATTGATTAACAATTTTTTAAAATATACATTAACTTACCACATTAACGAAATCCTGAAACGTAATCGCATGTGCACGGGTTTCTTTTGCCCTGACAAAAAGGATGTCTCTTTTATTTACTGGAATTTCAGCAAGCCAATCAGGACTTCTTAAAGCAACTAAAAAATCCTCAATTGGTATTTCTCCAAATCCTTCGGGATCGAACTGCAGAAATTATAAATTATTATTTAATTAAAATTTTAAAAATTATTTATTGAATTATAAATCAGTTTTCTTTAAATTGATATAATTTTAAATTAATTAAATTATTTAATTAAAATTTAGAAAAAGAGATATATAAAAATTCATACCTTATCAAATAATAATCGCCATCGCTGAAAATAAAAGTTTTTAAATTATTTTCAGATTTTCCTTGTCAAATCAGAGACTGTATTGAAACGAGAACTATTGAAATCAAATTGAATATGCTTACGTCGTTCAGCAACTCTCGACGATATTCGGATTCATCGATGTCAATTTCAGAAGCAAGATCAGTGTGATCTGTAACGTAACCATCACATGGACCACTATTTGCTTCACTTTGAGCGTATTCTTCCTCAATGGCACCGGCAATTGTCGGTATCGAAGTACCAGTTGCTAGCAGCATCTCTGCGAAAAGCACGTCATCACCAAGTAAAATTCATTTCTCCTTTCTTCAATCAACAGCAATGATGAATTCATAAATTTCTCATAGATATCTGAAAAAAATGAATTGAAAAATTAAATTATTCTTTTTGTTTTTCAAAATTAATCTTCAAATGATTTATTACTTTTATTTTTAAATATTTGAATTTTATTGCATTAATATTCTTGTTAGAAATTTATCAAATCGTTATTTTTATTTATTTTTTGTTAAATTTTTAAATAATCATTTGGCCTTAAATTTTCAAATTTTTATAAATCAAAAAAAGCAATTTTTTGATCAAAAAATTTACGAAACGAAAGAGGAAAATTTCTTTTTTAAACTTTTCTAAACGGTTCGCGTTATCTGAACTCCTAAAAATTCTTATATTTATGTTTATTTTTTCATTTCTAAAATTGTACCTAAAAATGCTTGAAAAACTAAAACTTTTAGAAAAGAAAAGTATATTCTTTCTTTGATTTAAAATCGCATTTATAGATTAAAAATTTTATACAAATAAAAAAATTCATTTCCTATTTAAAAAAAAACTTAATCAACAGAAGTTGAATTTTTCTTGTAACATTTTACTCGAATTAGATTGAGATTTCACTCCAATGGAGTGAAACTTTACGAATATATTGCAAAACTTTGAATAATTCAATTTTCACTTCATTGAAAAATATCACTACTAAAAATTCAGAGAAAATATTTTTTTTGCTGTAAATAAAAATAAGAATATCTTAATATTGTATAGTGCATGTAACTGGCAAAGTTAATATGGGTTTAAGTAAAAATATCGAGCGAGTAGTTGGTGAATTTGCCTTAAAGTACAAGAAGTGCCCTTGAAAATAGCCTCCTTGTGCAATCGTGGTTCCTGGTTAAAGTATAGGTACAGTGTACGTATTTCACGACAGTAGCGGGTTTCCATGGAGATGCGTCGATGGTGAATCCCCGCCGCCCCTTGTACGCGATGCACATCGTTCACCCTTCGCCCCCAACACCCTTACCCTAACCCCCTAAACTCATCCCCCTTCGTCTCCAACCCTCTAAACCTCCGAACCCTTCGTGTTTCTCTACCATCGTCCAAATGGATAGCAGAACCATGGACTACGACGCGCAAGACGTATTTTAAGGTCGACGACCGTCTACTTAACACAACTTTTTTTTTTCAAATCCCAACTCTACTCCCTTAACTTATTATTGAGTCTCCTTCTAGAAAGCTTTCTCTCTTCGAAACTTTCTGATTCTCTTTTTTACAATTTTCTCAAATTCTCTTACTATGGAATTTTTTTTATTATTTTCTTTATTCAACTATTCTCAATTCCCTTATACTGGAAAATTTATTTCTTGTCAATTCTTTTGACTTCTTAAAATTCTTATATTGTAATTTCACAAAATTACTTTTAATGAATTAAAGAATTATAATAGTATTTAGTTTTATAAAATTTCTTTTAATATATTTATGGAAAAAAATATATGAGTTAATTGTAAATATATTTTCAGGAAATAAAAGAACGGTAAAAGAAGATGGAAAAATATTGGAATATATATTCTGATGATTATGCAAATGCAGCTGTAAATGTTATAAATTCTTTTCTCGTAAAGTGTAAATAATCAAAAGCTCAAGACGCAATCAACTGCAGAACACTTTACGATATTATATACAAGTGAGTGTTTGAAGCAAAGTTTTTCTCTTGACGAATACGACCCCAATTCGAGTCTCCGTTCGATAGCGTTGCCGCAGTCACGCGAACGAGCAAACAGCTGTGTAATATCGATATAATGTGTTCACATATACGTACATTAAAATCGGATACATAATCCGTACGAGGTCGATTTCAACGTTGACATCTTTGAAAAACACATGCCGCAATATTCCTTCATCAATTTTTCGATGTTTTTTTATTTGTTATATTATTTAATCAATATTATAGAAGTTAAATTCAATAATACCACGAACACATTCCGTTAAATTCACTATAAAATAATTGCACAGAATTTATAGAGAAAGAAAATCGAAAACAAATTTTATTTATGCGAATTAGAAAAACCGGCACTTTTGTTATTTACCGCATCCACGTGGGAGGTGGAAGTCACTTCCGCGCACGTGGCTTCAAGTGGAAGGAAATCCTTCAGGAGTATATAGGGATTAACTTTTAATTTTTAAAAATATTTCTTAGTTTATTAATTTATTTCTCAAGAGATTTTGGTTTTTTTTATATTTGGCAGGCATTTATGATTGAAATAGAAAAGTTTTTGTATACAATAATATCTACATATACATGAAATGGTAAACATGCGCAAGTTTTAACGTTTATAAATAGATGTTATGGACGAATGTTTTTGAGGTGTTTTTTTTTACATTTAATTTAAAAAGGGTGGATGAAAGGAAGGCTACGGATTTAAAACCACGTGGGTTTTCGGACGGAAAGAATATTTGCGATATGGCCAACGTATGCGACTGGCGTCACGCGACTGACGAGGGGTCTACAGCCCTCCTCGGCTTTCTCACCCTGTAACCACCCCCGCAAAACTCTACTGGCTCGTTGAACCCCCTAGAGCACGCGGGTGGTTTACATAGAATTCATTTTCTCTTCCTTTCTTAACATATATGTATATTCCATACATTCCAAATGAAAAAAATAAAATCAAATAATTTTATTTTTTTATTAAAAAAATTTTTAAAGCGATATTTGAAAAAGTTAATTATTAAATATCGAAAGAATTTCAATAACAATTATTTTTTAAATTTAATTATTGTACGCAATAAAATTTTTTTTTCAAAATTTTTAGGTGTCTAACTCTTGAAGAAAATGGTTGAGGAAATTTGATTAGACCAAAAGAAGAAAAATTCGTCTGTTTGGAAAGATTATTTTATCTTTGAGTGCCGATCCAGATGTTCTCTGTAAGTACTTTTTTCATTGGTTAATTTTATATTAAAATTTAAACATTGATTTCGAAATGTTTGATTGATCAATTGATTTAAAATTTTTTTAAATATAGAAATTAAAATTTGAAAAATGAGGTTTCTTCTCAATGAAATGAACAATATAATTTGGTTTGCAATTGTTGCCTTTATTTACAAATGTTTCGATATTCATTAATGTATTTGGTAACAAAAGTGTATTATTGCACATATACAGAATAATCGTTATACCACCGGCGAAAAATGAATAACAATGCCTCCACATAATAAAAACAATACCGATACAATTGGATTCAATGTAAAGTCGCATCGCATTATATATATTTTTTTTTATACATATATATTTATATCAGTCATAAAATTCACATATAATATATTCGCCATTATTAATCATAGTCTTAATAATTATATTTAGAACAAATCATGAAGAGATCCATCATATTATATTAACGAAAAAAAATTATTAATTACAATTTTTTAACGTATACCTATGACAAATTTTTAGGCCGAACAACTTACGAGAAGCCAGTCACTTATCAACTTTTTCTGCGACTGTGTTTAGTTTTTTTTTTTTTAAATTCTTCAACGTTTGTCTTTAATCAACACTATACTGATATATAACACTTGTGTGTTTGAAATTAATGATGTTCTTTTCTTATAGACCGGCACGGATTTACATTTTCTCTAACACATATTTATTACGAAAAAAAATAGTTTTTACAAAAATAACGACTTTTAAAAATTTGACATAATTTTTACGATCGTGGGCCTTTTTTATAGATCGTGTTAAACATTTTATAATTCATAGTATATATGCACTGCCAAGAATTCATAGTTTTCAATACAAAATTTATTTTTTATTCCGCTGGTTAAAGGAATTTTATTTAAATGTCAAAGTTTTTAATTAAAAAATTCACTCTCCTTTTTTAGAATAAACAACCGTCAAAATTAAAATATATTTTATTTTTTTTATAATAATATTAAACCCTGAATTAAAAAGCCAGTGAATGAAAATGATTTCTCGAATAGCTATTCGTCTATAATATAGAATATAGTTTTGTAATTTATAAAACTATAATTATAGAGTTAAAGAATGATATTAATTTGTCATTGTAAAAGTAAATAGAGGCCCTGAAATCTAGTCATTAAACTACTGTGGCAGGGCTTCAATCTTTTGTTTGTTTGTTTTTTTTTCTATTGTAGCACATTCAGTGTATATACAATGCCTGCAATTTATTTCTAAAAAATTCACAATATCCAGTTTTTGCAAGAGTGTATAACATAAGTCCTTACTCGATTGATATAAAATTAATTTTTAACAATTATAAATAATATTGTTTCATACAATAAAGTTTTGTCATGCTAAAATTAAATTTAGAACATGTTTTAAACTTGTATATTCTAAATTATAACTTCAACTAAATTTTCGTATTTACATTATCATAAGGAACAATTATACAAAGCGTACCAGTGATTTTATCAGAGCCAAATATATAACATATAAAAATTCTATTAAAGTATTGCAATCTTCTCTAATTAATTTTGCAAAACTTAAATTTTTTGGCATTTATTTGCTTATAAAACGTTGAGAGTAATTGTAACTTTGACTCTGATTACTGCACATAGAGCTTAAAATAATAATAATAATAATAATAATAATAAAATTCTTTACAGATTTAGGAAACAACGACACGACAATTAATGCAGTTTTTCATCTGTTATTTTTAAACAGAATTTCTTTAGCACTATATATCATTTGAAAGTAGGAACTCAATGCTAATTAACAAAAGCTCTAAACAATCGCAATTTTACAATAGAGTGTAATGTTATTAGAAATCCAAATAACGCGCAAGTAATAATTAATTACTTGGTTATCTATCTTAAATTTATAATATTTCTTACAATACTGTCAATTCGTGAGCGTGGGTCGCACAGAAAATATTTTCTGCTCTAATTTATATTTAAATGCAAATCAATGCATTATTTAAGCTCTGTTTTTTTAATTTACAACCCTAAGAAAAGTTTTCAATTCTAACAAACTATAAGTACTCGTTTTTCATCTTGTTTCAAGATTTTCGAATTTCGAAATTAGAATAGGTCTGAATATTTTAGAATTAAATATTTTTATTTATACGTTTGCAAAATTTGTATTTAAAATCAATGTCAAAAATTATATATTATCAAATATTTTTTTTCTTTATTAAAAATTTCATTTCAATTATTATTATTATTATTTTATTTTAACTTTAAATTGTAAATTAAAAATTCATTCATACATAAAAATAAAATTTTTTTTATTAATAATGTGAACCCATTCTCACTGATTGATCAGACTCGTTCGGTGTAGTTGTTGTAAATGTGTTTTTTTTTTAGGTCCGATATGACTTTCACTTTAGGCGTATGAAAAATAATTGTAAAGTGAGATTTTAAGATTTCTTTTTAAAGATCAGACTCGAGAAAGCTTGAGGGTGTTTCAGGCCGGACGTTTATTACATGACGATAACAACGATATTGTTATTATTTCCAGACAATGTAGAGAAAGATTTTTTTTTATTTATTAATGATGGAACTATAAGAACACAGATTAAAATCTTTAAGTTATTCGAAATTTTTGTTCAAGATTTTCAAATTTATATTTTAAAAAACTTGACTAAAGTGTGTTCGAATTTAAAAATATCTAAATTTCTATTTCTTAGAGTTGATTTTATATTCAAATTTAAATGCACTCTATAGATTTTAAGGAATTTCAATTTTCAAGGATGTTTTATTTAAAGACTTTCATTTTTTGATGTTCTGAGCTTCTAATTTAAAAAAATCTTTATTTAAACTCAAAATTAACTTTGTAATTAATTTTTCATTTACATTTTAACTAATTTTTAAGGGTTTTTGAATTAGAAAACTCAGTTTTTAATTATATAATTAAAGATAATATTTTAGATATTTTTGTTTATTTAATATTATCTTTAAAAAATATGTAATTATTCCCATTTTTAATAACTAGGACGTCCTGCATACTTTTTTAAGAACATTGTACAAAATTTGAGTACATTGACCGACTAAAAACTGAACACGTTATACCTTTCAACAGCATTACTATATTTTAACTCGACGCATAAAATATACAAATCAGCGCTCGAAATCGGGAAAAATGAGAAATAAAAATATTGTACTGGACGGTACTTGGGTGAACGTATATCGTAAACGAAGCTTTTGTTTGTGAAAAATCTTCGAGATTCACAGGACTGAGTTCTTTATAATTCGTTTGAATTTATAAATATCGTTTTTCTTTTTTTTTTTTCAAAAAAAAATTGTTTAGTTTTATATTCGTAAAACAAGAAAATAATACTTTTTCGCGCATCATAACACTTGATTTACTTAACAAGATGAATTTTCAATTTATTTAGAATTCATCATTTTATCAGCTCTCGCCGGTTCTGTCAATAAAATTCTTACAGTAAATTCCCACGTTGAGTTTCCTAATTTCCTTTATTTGACTAGAACTCATATTCCAAATTTCGCATAGATCTGTAAATAGATTTTAAGATAAGAAATATTTCTAAATTTTTTTTTCTAAGAAAAAAATTTTTTAAAAATCAAAACCAAATTTTGCTAATGTAACAAAAGGAAAACTCACAAATAGAGATTGACGGTTACTTGAGCCGTTGCGTTACGTTCGCCAGGGCAACAGCAAAAGCTTGTAAAGCACTAAAAGGATATTGGAAATCCAATGTGTAAGCATTTCCATCTATTCTTCCAAATTGCATTACCTGCAAAAAAATGTTGATTTTTAATTAATTAATTTTAATAAAAATTTTCAATTATCGAAAAAAATTAACTTTTCTAGTTTTTACTATTGTTTCACATGTAAATTATTTTCTCCTCACAAAAATTGCTTTAATTGAAAATTACAATTTCAAATATTTTTGTTTTATAAATGAATTTACAAACCTGTTTTCCTCTAAATTCAATTTGGAAATTCTTCGCACTTTCCTGAGTGACCCGTCCACCAAAATCGAGTTGATAAACTTGACTAGCATCATTCCACAACGGTGCTTTATTATGCATCACTAACTCTCTTCGAACCACTTCCGGTTTTTGTCCTCCGCCAGCTCTTTGTTTCAACTGAATACATAATTCATGAATTATAAATATCTCGAAATCTAGTTAATAAATTAAATTTAGATTTATTTTTAAAAACAAAAATTTATTATTTTTTTCAGATACTTTGTCGTTAGCAAACCTTTTGTCGAAGTTGTTTCTTTTGGAATGTCTCCAGATCTCGATAACTTTTCGAGGTTTCATCAAGAAGTGGAGCTTCATCATCTGAACTTTCATTCTTATTTTTTCTACTTCTTCGACTTAATAAAGGACTGGAAAGAAGTCGTCTTCTAATCGGAGAAGCAGAGGCTGGTCTCTTGCCTTTTTTCGAAGGAGCTGGACTACTTGGTGAGCTTCTTGGTAACCTTTTTTTTAAACATAATATTTAATTTTTTTCAATATTTTTAATTTTTCTAAATTAAAGAAAATAATCGGGATTTGAAATTAGCTGGAATTTTATTTAAATATTAAGAATTGTTTTTTAGTCAAAAAATTACCTGATTGATGAACGAGGCGATGGCGGTGGTAAAGAATGACATTCATCGAAATCTTTAAGTCTTGCAGCCAATCCATCCAAAGAAGAAGCCATTGAACCACTTGCACTAGAACCTCTAAAATTTTAGGATTTTCACGATTTTATTTCTTTTTTTTTAATAAATAATAATAGGTATGGAATTAATTTACCTAGCAGGTGAAGTAGAAACGTCCGACTGTCCTGGTTTCGTCTTCACATCCAAAGTGTCCATTCTTTTAGCTTGACCTTTTTCCGAATTGGTAATTGTTTCTTTTATATCAACACGAATTTTAGAATCGTTTTCATTTCCTTGAATATTCCCATTTCTCTGTGGCTCTTCAATGTGTTCAGGTAATTTTGGTTTTAAAGATATTTGCTCTGTACTTGGAAATATGTCACTGGAATCAAGACTTTTCGATTTTCCACAATTCCTCAGTCTCGGTGGTTTTGCAATTTGTTGGCCAATTTCATTATGGGCTTTATTCTTTTTTCGCTTTTTTGGCTTCCTTGAAACTAGAATGAGCCTTTTGTTGGGCGCATCTTTCCTGAGCATTTTCAAGGCCACGTCACAAGGAACCAATTGAGTGTCAACTAAATCCAAATAACCAACGCTACAACTACGAACTATCGAATCGTCGGAGTTTAGGGAAGTTGAAGTTCGATGAATAACTCGTGATTGATTGAGATCATCAAAATCAATAAGATCATCAGCGTATTTATATTCATCAACTTTTGTCGATTGATTTGCTTTACTTAGAAATTTCAAATAGTTTCCATCTTTCCTCTTTAATGTACATTGACATGGATTTTGAGTTGAATTTCCTGGTGTTTGATGACAGCATGTGGGCGAAACAGATCCATTACTTGTTCCAACAATCTTCCCTGTTTCTCTAGTTTGAGAACTATTTGTCAATGACAACGCGTTCGTTCCACTATTCAAACTATTTTTCGAATTCACAAAGTTCTGAGACGCTTGAATTGTACTTGATCCACCATTCGAACAACTCGAACCGTTTAGATAAATGGGTTGATTTATTGTGCAACCACTACTTGTGCTGAGGCTGTGGAGAAGTGAATTATTTTGTGATCGTAAACCACCGGAATTTCCATTCGATAATTGGCCATTTTGAATTGAGGTGGATATAATAGAATGACTTAATTTCTCATCATTGAATTTATTGTTTTCTAATTCTTTTTTCATATTTATATTTGTTTGTTGATCGGCCAATGCTGTTTTCATTCTTTGAATGCTACCGGTATAATCGGCACTTGAATTTGAAGTTGCAATCAATGTTTGTGTGGGTGCCACTGCATTTTTAGGTGATTGAAGTGTTGGTACATCACAGCATCTCGAAGCATTGTGTCTAGGAGGTGTTCTATAGGTATTATTCACAGCAAGTTTCACATTGTCACAGATGACTATCTCTTGTAGATCACCATAAGGAAATTCATCCTCGTAACTTTCAGCACGCGCCGAAGATGGCGAAAGAGATTCGTTGGCTAAAAATTGATTTGAAATTTGAGACTTTGGACGATTGGAACTCAATCTCGTTGTTCGAGGTGTCATAGGAGCAATTGGTGGCGGTTGAACTTCTGTTGATTTTCTCGAGGTACTTTGTGATTCTTGAAAAGTTTCTTCCTCATCTTCAGAGAAAAGATTTGGATTGAAACTTGGATCAGGACCTGAAATGATAATAGTTAATACAAATTTTAATAATTAATAAAAATATTTTTAATTTTATTGTTAATCTTTTTTAGGAAGATGTCCACATTACCTGCAGGTAAATCGTCCCTAAGCTCAGTTATAACTAAAGTCATTTGTCTCGGTTGCAGGTGCAGCAAAGATGTTCTATAAGTCACTTGACCTAAGTTTGCTGGTATTGAATCCGCTAGACCGTGAATTTTGAACTTTGTGCCCCAGATGTTCGATGTAACTTCGACCAACCTTGCATCCTGGAAATAAATCAGGTAATAAAAGTTTTTAGCAATATAGTTATCTCTATTTGAAATTTTTATTATCTCAAAATGTTTAAAAAGCGATAAAAAGAAATATAAAAAATGTATTTTAAATTTAAAAAAAAAGAAACTTACTTCAGGCAATGTATCCACATAAATAGGCTCATCAGTTTCCTCGTAATATTTCTCCATTCGTCTTCTTCTGTTTTTCCGTCTATTCCTTGGTGACCCACATAAATCAGCGGTATCTCTCTCAGTGTCCGATCCATCACTGAACACAGGATATTGAGAAGTGTTGTAATCCAGAAAGTGGCAAGGGCCTTGACTTTGAGGATCGAATATCACAAACTCAGGACGTATTTTGCTGGTTCTTCTGCCTTTGAGAAGAGGTACTAGGCCGCCCAAATATTCCAAGTAGAGAGTGTAACAAGGTACTAGTTCAGTCGCGTGTCTCAATATCGTGCAATGTAATCTTCCACCTCCTGGTGGTGGCCTTGAAACAAATCTTCTCAAATCTTTTGGTTCAGGAACGCAGCATCTGAAAAAAAAATTATTTCCTTATCAATCTTGCAAAAAAATTGCAAACAAGTCGTGTTTCTAATTCTTCAATATTCGAAAGGGTCTAAAAATCCCTCTAAATATTTAAGTTGAAAATCTCAAAATTTGTATCACAAATAGGGCAATTCTGAAGAAAAATAGGATCCTTTTATCATTTTCACGTATGTATTTTTTTTTTTTTTTTTTTTTTTTAATAGAAAAGACTTTAACCCTCGAAAGAAAGCCCGTTCTTCCAGCTTATTTCCTTTCGATTTAGGAGGGGAAAAGATCGTAAAAACAGTGCGAGGATATATTTGTGGAGAGGATTTTTCAAGTGGAAGACCATTTTTCAGAATATGCCCGAAACGTGACTGTTTCTCGGTTCTCTCGATATCGATTTACGGATAAGCTGTATTACAGTTTATAACATTGAAAGAGGCCCTAGTATATGATTTTCTTACCTTATCGTACTGGCGAAAAGTGCAGCAACTATTTCTTTCAGTCTTGGTGGTAATGGTAGTTGTTGCACACTAGATTCTTTAGTAAGGGCCTTCCTTATAGCAAGTCTTGACAAAAGTTGAAGAGAGCCGACTATTCTGAAAATTATGTATTCACCCATTCTTATAACATTTTCTATTTGTTTTTTTCTCTCTCTCCCCTTTAACATTTTTCTTTTAAAATATTCAAGGACGCAGAGACTTGCATTAACTACTCGAAAAACAAAAGAACCCTCTGCCTCCAAAGAATATCAAGAAAAAACTCTTATGAAGGCAAGGTGAAAAAACATAATCTCGACCTTGTGAGAATTTTTCCACTCGAGTGATAATTGTGGAAAAAGAATTTTTTTTTTTTTCATAATACATATGAAAGAAAACATTCTAGCTTTTAAAAAATAATAGAAATGTCTGAGTTTATTGATATTAATTAATTAAGGGAAAGTTTTAATGGTATTTTTGCCTAAAATTGTAATTATAGATTTACCTATTCACCCACGCAGTATGAACACGTGCACCAGTTGCTATAAAAAGCCTTTTATCATTATGAGCCCAAGTCAAAGCTGATACTTGACACTGAAATCAATATTTACGCTTGAATTTTATGTGAAAGAAATCAGAAATATTTCTTAAGTTTAAAATTTAATTGAAGATTTCAAAAAGAATTGCAAATTAAACTGTTTCAGCTAAATTTTATTATTGAAATAAAATTGTCAAATTTTACATATTAAAATTGAATGATATTTAAAAAAAAAAACAAATAAATTTTTATTTAACTTTATTACCTGTGTACATGGAATAGTCGTTGAATAAACCAGCATCCCTGTATCTGAGTAAAATTTCAAGAGATTCGTGTACACCTGTGGACTAGATTGAAAGACATCGGACTCTTTAACCCCTGCAATTGCCAAGAGCTCTCTAGAATTACTCCATTCTGCGTGTAAAGGCGCTTTTAAACTTGTTTGTATCGTAATGGGTGACACATCATCAAAAGATTTTAACATCACAATATTCCCATCAGCAAGGCAAACTGCTAACACGTAACTTCTTTCATCTAAAATTAACAGAAAGATTTATTTTTTCTCCAAATTAAATTTATTTTGAAATATCTAACATTTTATATTTTTATTCTATTAATTTCATGTTTCTATTTTTTATTTGATGATTCTAATATGAATAGATATATATTAAAAAAAATTTTTTGCACTAAATAAATTTTTTTTATAACGGCAATAATTTCTGTCAATATAAATAAATGATTGTGCGAGATGAAAAAGATGTATATGTATATAGTGTAGAGGATTTTTCAAATGATGGTTTTATTACTAGGAAAAATAAAGATAAGCGTACAACAACGAGAATGATTAATTTATTATTGAAAGTTTAGTTAGGAGAAAAAAAATGTTGTATAAAGTTTGAATAATGAACCGCAGGGTGTGAGTAATAGCTCGCTGACAGCTTCAAAGTTTTAAGGTCGATTAGTTCACCTCCATTTACTACTTAGAGAAAATCTCCAACCCTAATTAAATGATAGACCTCTATTGCAAGCAAGATACGTTAAACGTCTTACTTTTTTAATAAAAAATTTTTGAATATAATTATATCATTGCGGAACAAAACAGAAGCTAAATGTTAATACTTAAAATTGGTTTCATAGTAAATTTTTTTTTTCCCTATTTATTTGTTTATTACTTTAATATGCATTTACCTGTACTCTCGTCTTCAACTTCAGCCATACTAAATTTTTTAGCGTTCCATGCCATGGATGTCACACCAGCTTCTAATTGAATTTCGGAAACCATCGCACCATGAACGTCCATTACTATCAATTGGCCCGCTGTTGTTCCAAAATAAACCTGGTAATATTTTTAAAATCATATTATTAATATTTGTTTTTTGTGAAAAAAATGTTTTCTCTAAATCTGAATCAGTGAATTTTTCATGAATTCAAATTTTAAAAGTTTAAAATTAATATAATAATGTAAAAAGCCTATTTTTATTTTATTTTAAGGCATTATTACATTAGTTCTTATTATATTTTCATTCACATAATTAAAACACTTTTACAACTATGTTTTACATTTCTTGACAAAGTTTTGCAAATGAAAAAATATTATTGGAAAAGTTTTCAAACTATAGGTAGAACCGAATAAAATAGAATTATAGGAAAAGTTGTATAGTTTTCCGTATAAAGATTTTTTTCTATAAATAAGTTTTTTTTATTCGAAACAAAAAAATTTTTTTTATTTCTTTCTAAGGAATTAAAGACCGAAAATATAAATGATTAATGAATCCATAATATTATTTCCCGTAAAGATATATCAATAAATGGAATTCTATTATATGAAATATGTATAAATAATAGCAAGTCATATATTTTCATCTATAGAGAGCCAAAAAAAAAAAATAATATAAAAATCTGGTCATAAGCATCACTTACACTTGACCGTTCTTATAGTTCAAATAAGAGAGGGTGGTATAATCGTATTTCGAAAATCATAAAATTATATTTCAAGAGAAATAGTACGAGCATGACTTGAAATATTTTACGCGAAACATTAATGGAACGATCAATTGTAACATTAAACTGTAATATCAACCATGATATGAAACGACCTATTCGCGGCGACCTATCTAGAATACCACAAATGATTCATCATTTTGTTAAATAGCCGAAGTTCAATTTAAACTTGATTTAATTTCATGTAAATCAAGTTTATGTTTATTTGAATGAATCATTTATTTGTGGAAATATATATGTATATGTCACCAATTTTCATTGATTCAAATATAAATTCTTTAAATAAAGAAGAATTTCTTTTCATAAAATAAATTTCTATAATAATTTTATAAATGAGAAAATTTTGAAATAAAATACATTTTTTTCAAAGTAAATGTGTTTTAAAAAATGATATTTTCAGGATATTAATAAATAAATAATATAGAAGTTTCGAAAAAAGGTGTGAAAAGATATAATTTATTAAATTCCATTATTATGAAAAATTAATGATTCATTTATAATTATGATTGCAGGTGTATTTACCTGTTGATCATCAGGTGTCCAAATTCCACAAGTTATAATCGCTTTGTCATTTAGCATTGATGACCAGTACCTTTGACCATTGACGCTTCCGACTAATACAAAACCATCCTGGAAAAAATTGAACAAATTTTTTTATCATTTGGGAAAAAATAGAAAAAAGAGCTTTAAAACTCTTAAAAATTGCAAGTTGTTATTTTACTAACAGATATTTAATTTTTCCAAATTCTATTTTACTAAAATTTTTATAATTTATAGATGATTTTAATTTTATTAGGAAAAATAATATTTAATAATATAATTTATAATTTTTCTGTTTTTTTTTTTTTTTTGCAAGTCTGAGTACTCTATTTTTGTATATTTAATTATTAAAAATAATTTTTTAAGTCTAATATGTAAAGATAAAAAGAAATCATAACGAAGCATGAAAAACTTTCGAACGCTTGAAAAAACTTTCAAAATGTCAAAGCAAAAAGCTTTTCCAACTTTAAGTAGTAGAAGAGTTTATAATCAGACGTGAATGTGGCACCAGCTCGTAAAACAGAAAGAGCATTTCTCTTTAACTGCTAGACTTTTAAATGTTTCTTTTTCTTCTCTTAGATACTCTTAAAACTTTCTTTTATTTGTCAGGTTTATTTTATTACTTTGTGGTAAATAAATTTCATGTTCTATGTTGTATTATTAAATTAATTGCTTTTTTTTCATTTACAGGAAATCTGTGAAAAGTATCATAGAGATTCAATATACTGATAAAAAAAAATTTTACTTTTCAAAAAACAAAATAATGCCTCATATATGAAAAATTCTGAAGGTGGAATAAAAATTAAAGGTATGTTAATCTTTTTTTATTGATTAATTTATTTTTAATTATTTTATATATAGAATACTTTTATTTTACTTATTTTTCCTATTTGATATAGTTTGCATTTTAAAAATGTATCCTTGTGAAATCTAAATTAGAATATTTAACACGCTTTGTGTAAAAGACAAGTTTTCTAATTAATTGCGACGGATAATTTAATTTTAAAAACACTTTTGCAAGGTAATGTGAAATGCAAGAAAACAAAAAGAAACATTAGTTTAAATGTTAAATTAAATAAAAGTCAGATAAATGGCGAATGATGAGAAAATTCCGGAAAATTGAAATATAATGAAAGAAAATATTTTTTCTCATGATAAATATTTTTTTTAAATAAAAATAAACAGTTATGAATTGCAATAGCGCAATAAAAAGGCTATAAAAAGTATCAACTATTTGAAGTATTTTTCAAATATAAAACTTGTTACAAAATAAATGTAAAGAATTTGGTTGATTTTAAAAGAATTTGAAACTGGACGAATAAAAACAGATAGTTCTCTGAATTCTAAAGTACGTCAAGTACACTCGAATATGTAGAGTACTGACTGGCTATGTGTAATTCGATATTAAGTTTCAGGCACTTGAAAATGTCAATTTCGAGTGCCTTTTGAGAATCATTCTCTGCTGACAATAAAGCTGGGGAGTTCTCGATTTAATGAACATATCAGATTACCTCGAAAATTCTTCATTTTCTGATAAATTCCAACAAAAGTTGAAAATTTCTTATGGTTGCACGGCATTAATTACATTCAAACTTTAATTTAGTTATACAGTTTCATATTGAAAATAATTACATTTATTCATTATACATTATCTAAATTTAATAAAATAATTTAAATTTATCATTATTTTTGTTTAGAGATATAAAAATTGTTGTATATTTTAAATAACTTCGATATTTATAACTTTCCAAGTTGACAAAGAAGAATATCATAAACCAAATGGTTCTCGCATATCGAAGTAGTGTCAATTTCTAAAGCTGGACAAAGTCCAAATCCCAGAATGGAACAATCAATTTTCTTGCCTTTCCTGAAGTCTGAGCAATTTAAAAGTTTTATTCGATTCGGAATTCAACTCTTGTTTCAAATACAAGAACCAACAAGTTTCCCATCATCAATTTCTTTTAAAATCCAACTTCCTGTTTGTTTTCTAGTTAAATTAGAAAAGAAGAGTTTCTTTTTCTTCTTTTTTTTTTTTTGGAAAAAGCGAAACTTTCGATTCAATAAATTTTACATGACTGAAATAGAAATAAACTATTTACCCGATAACATATGAGTGCCATTCTTCCATCATGTGACCAAGAAAAATGGGTGACAGGGGTGTTTCTGTCGTTTATTAATTCTATACTCCATTTTTCATCGAATTTTATCCATACAAAAATTACCCCCGAACTGTCGCATGAAGCCAGCTTTTGAAAAGGTTCATTCCATTTCACAAGTATCACCTGTAACAAAAAACAAATTTTTTAATGTTAACATTTAAATAAAAATTTGTTTTAATTAATAATTATTATTTCATTAAGTACCATGTAAATTTGACTTAATGAGGTTTAGAAAATATTATGCACTCCTTTAATGTTCCATTTCATTTCTAATGGCATTAGAATTGATCATTAAAATTAAATTTGAAATTTACAAGCAAATCGAACTAATTAGTCTCCAAACATACTAATTAATTAATAGCATATACTTGTCACAATTTGAATCAATAATAAATTTTGAAATGAAACATTGATTTAATTTACAAAACTAATTTGTCTACGTATATAAAACAAAAAGTAATTAATTACTTTGTGAATTTAATTAATTGGATGGTGAAATTTATTTTTGACCGACAATATAATATTTAGTTTCCCGAGGGTAATTTGCAAGATCAACTTGTTCTCCTAGACGTCAGGGTATTAATTAAGCTCAACTGACAAGATTTCTAAAGATGTTTTCAAGATATTCAATTCTCATTTCCTTATGCGAGGAATATGAAAAATTCTCTCAGTACTTTATTCTTCCAACTTCCGGTGCAGACGACGGAGAATGCTTTCAAAAACTGCAAACAAATAAGCTCATCGTGCTTCTTTATAATAAATAATATAAGTCTATCCAAGTATGAGTGGAGTATAAATCCTTATTTCTTTGTCGATATTATCGCTGCATTTTATAACCGAGAAAAGCGCTAAGATAACTTTTCATTCATGTTCAACGAAGGTTTCCTTTACAAAAGTATATATATATATATAATATAACTTTATACACTTCCGTAAAATGGAAGAAATTCTAATTGTGAGTTTATCTTTAGTTTCTCAATTTATTTTAAGTTTCTTTTGCTCAACAACTTTTGAGATTTCATTTTGTCACTTTTGTTAAGTAATTTCGTATATTCTTTAGAATTAACAAGACAAATAAATGTTTGAAAATAAAATTATAACGCGTTAGTGAATTGTAAATTTGTCAACTTTTAGAGATTATATTTTCTTTCAAAGTTTCATTTTTTTTTTTTTTTGTTAACTAAAATATTATTTAATTTCAGTATAAATTATGTTTCACATTAAGAAGAAAAATTTCAAAAAAATAAAATTCATTTTTTAATTTTTGAAATATTTATAATTTCTAAATGTGAATAAATCTTTTTTTAAGCCAATAATGCGATTTTTTGTCAAAGGTCACTTTTTTAGAATGTATATCTTTAAATCTCCTTTATCAGCGCTTCTAAAAGAGTTCATATCAAAAGAAGTAGAACATCAAGTTAATACTGCTTCACTGAATCTGTCACGTCCTATTTCTGTTTTAGAAGTTACTTCTCGCACTTACAAGATCAAAGTGACAGGAAATGTGGACTTTTAGAAGCGAAAAGAATTCTCATTGTCATTTGTTTTTGGTCGAACAAGAAGAACGGAATGATTCAGTGTCATGAAAAATAATCACACAACAAAAAAGTAGTAAGTGAAACAAAATTTTTTTTTTAGTGTAAGAAATTTATTTAGATTTATCAAGAACGGAAAATTTATTAATTTATTCTTTAAATCCATCTTGTATACCTATATACATATATTATAAAAAATCAAAGACTCGATTTGTATTTTTCTTTTATTATCGACACTGAAAAATGAACAAATACTTGATTTTACAAGTTATGCATTATTTATCACATTTCAGAATTGCAAAAATGAAAGTACGTGATAAAAAAAAATTAGAAGCGAATAGTGAATATTTTAATATTGAAAGGTGTTCTTAAACTTCGAATGAATTTTCTTTGAAAAGTTAGTTTTGTTCTATTGGTTTTTGTTTCTATGTTTAAATTATGTGTATAAACATTTAAAACATGGCCTCTAAAATAAAAAGTAAAATTTCAATTTAGATTAATAATGAGAATAGAAAAAGTTTTTCTCATTTTTATTCAATTAATTAATAAGATTTTGAAATAAAGATAAATTGAAGTTAGGACAGTAGAAGCTTTCATGTAAAAGATATAAATGATGCGAAGTTATTTTTTTTTCTTTTACTTTGATGGAAGAAAGTCGTATTTATTATTTTCTTATTTCTGACCTTCTTTGAGTATATCTGCTTCCAATAAGAGATATTGTTTAGGGCAAAAGAAGCTTTTTCACGTTTCAAGCTACTTATATAGTCATACGTCACTATGCTATACATGCTCTTCCATAAAAATATTATCGAAGTGTAAAACGTAAATGTTCGAGTTTTTAAAATTGCCTCCTTCACGTTTTATAATACATTTCAGTTCCCATATTATCATAGAAATTATTATTTGACCTCACGCGAGCTATTATCGACTTATCGTTATATTCTTGTACTTTCTATCTTAATACATTGTTAATTGATCTCAGGTACATAACTTTTTGTGACCTAGACGTTCATCAAACACACGATACATAAGTTCAATTTTTGCTTGCTATTTTATCAAGGATAAATTCATTTTAAATCTTGAAATTAGTTTCAAAAAAAATTTCTATTATTTCAAGAATGAATTAGATAAAAATGTTTTCTTTTTCTCTTTCTCTTTTTTTAACTGGATTTCATTTGCTCGCGAGAATGATAATTTTTAAATGTTGAAGAATTCCATGTAAAAAGATTTCTGATTATAAGGATTTGAACGAATTTAATTAAATTCTTTTTCGTCCTTCTATGCAGCGAAAGGTGGAGAAAAATAAAAGCTAACTGACCGAAATGATTATTCAGAGGGAAACTTTATTATAAAATCTTGATGGTGAATCAACTATACATTTTTCTTTTATTAAAATCATATATAACCATGGTTTAAATAGACTAGTGTTTAAATTGGAAAAATTGTCTGTGGACTTCTCAAATAAAAGGATAATTGTGCAAATACTCGTTTACAAGGAAAATAGGTTGAGTGAAATTACCGCTCATAGAACTCAATTTTTTTTTTTCATGACGAATAGAATTCTGTCCTATTACGTTTGAAGGTGACTAAAAAAAAATTGCCATTACGGGAAAATTTATTTGCATTCTCAATGTTCTGTGATAAAAATATTCTCCGGTAATATTTTTTTTTAGTACTAAATCTTGTTTTTTCAAATTAATCACCATTTTTGAATTAATTTAATTCAATTTGATTTTTTTAGATGAGAATTTCGAAAAAAAATGTTTATTTTAAATAAAAATAATAAATGCATCAATTCTTTTTTTTTATTCAAAGTAAAAAAAAAAGCGTTTTCGCACAACTTCATTTTTGTAATTCTGCAAATGGCATTTATGTGCTTGACAATAATTCTCGGGTCCTTTATTAATATCCGAATGAGCACTATACATTTGCCTGAGAGTAAAAGTGGATCTGAATGTTGGGCTTAATAAATTCTTTCTCCGAGAGAGAGAGAGGCTTTCAGCTTCTCTTCCATAATTGAATTCCACGAAATTTAGGATCTTTCACTAGAAAATTCTCGAGTTTAGAAGCATTATAAAAAAAGCATTTCAACGTTGAAAAAGAGCTTTTCTACTTATTCTTTTAAGCGCACGAACATTCTCAAACGTATAATATGAGTGCAGTGAGAATATTTGCAAAACTTTTATTCAGCTCAGTACTTATTTCAATAACATACAAAGTCAAGAAGAAAGATTAACTTTTTCAAAAAAAAAAAAAAAAAAAAAAAATTAAATTAAATGGGATTTTTTTTAAATTTTCTATTTAATGCCGAATAGAAAATTAAATGTTTTACCAAACAGTTATTAATATTAATTAGTAGTATAACTATTAAATTAATTAAAATTAGTTATTAAATGAACAAATTAAAACAAAATTAAAAATTTCATTTCTATGAGAAGAAAATATTTTAAGATATATTGAAAAATTAAATTAGCCTTATATTTATTGTTATACAAGAATAGTTAATTTTATAATAGAAATTATGCATCGATTTTAAGTTGCTTTGACTTCGATGCGGTAGAAGATGCAGCAATTGCACGTTTTCTTCTGGCAAGGTTGGCAAATCAATGAAACTTCCGACAAGCCAGTACTTACACGACCTTCGCCATTCAACAATGTCAAGGTGTTACCATTTTTGGCACACAAGAATAATTTACAATTTATTAACATCTTATCATTGTTATAATACCCTATTCCTTGCTCAATACTGATTTCGTATTCAGTCAAAGATAAAAAGTGTCCTACAAAAATTAATTTTTCATTCTTTCTATAATCTTTTTTTGCATCAGAAAATGTCAGTCTATACAAAATTAGTTCTAATTTTAATATATATATATATATATTATTTACAACCGAAAAAATGCAATTTTTTTTAATTCAAAAGAATTTTTATTTATTTGAACAAAAAATTATATTTAAAATTATTAAATTATTAAATAATTATTACAATTATATAATAATAAAATGCTTGGTCTGTCCTTCTGTCCTAACTTGAAGTTGGCCTTTTCTGATTTCATGTGTTTTTTTGAATCGGTAATCTTATGACATGTCAAATTTTGACAATTCTTTTCCTCATTTTTGCCAAAGTTGTATAATTGTGTTTCCAAATTTCGGAATAAGTTTCTTTAAAATTCCAAATTCGAAAATTCAATTCACGAAGCTGAAGTACACAACGTTTACCAATGAAATTTTTTTTAAAGTTGTATATTGATTCAAAAATTGTATACAAATACAAAAAATTTATGATGAGAAAAAAGATGCGCCAGGAAATTTCGTACAAGATAGTAATTTGAAAAAAATTTATTTTTAAAAATTAATTTTTAAGGTACCAGGGGCCAACGATTACCTATTAAATATTAATTATAAAAACACAGGCCTCGAATCAACATAAAGACACAAAAAAGTCGTTTTAGTCGATTTATATTAAAAAAAAAGTGGATTTGTTTTTTATTTTAACAAAAATATTTTACAGATTTTTAAATAAAAAAAATTTTTTTTTAATAATAATCCTTTTCGAAGGGATAAAGTTGAAATTTTTAGAAATAATTAAATTTCAAAAGATATTGTTAATTTTCAAACAATTATTAAATTTTACAGAACTAAAAATAATTTATCAAACAATTTTTGGAAAACATTTTTTAAATTTAATTCAATTTTCAAAGATTTAAAATTGAAATTTTTTTTTTTTTTAATTGAAAAATGGTTTTAGATAGTTGAAATTTCAAAGAATATTATTAAAATATGTAAAAATAATTGAATTTCCTTAGAGTTATAATTGAAATTATTAAATTTCAAATAAAAAAATTCGATGGAAAATTTTAGAAATAATTAAATTTTAGATGCTTTTAAATTCAAATTATTTAAAATTCAATTAATTTTGAATTCAAATTTTTGAGAATAATTAAATTTTATTTGATTTTAAATTTGGAAAATAATTGAATTTCAGTTCATTTTGAATTGAAAATTTAGGAAAATAATTGAATTTTAATTGAAATTTTGGATAATAATTTAATTTAAGTTCATTTTTTATTTAAAATTTAAATATTTTTTTTTTTAAAGAAATTTTAGAAAATAATCGAATTTTATTTCATTTTAAATTGAAAACTTGGTAAATAATTAAATTTTAAATTGAAAATTTTTGATAATTATTAAATTTTAATTGATTTTGAATTAAAATTTCTTGTAATAATTGAATTTTAGTTTATTTTGAATTGAAATTTTTAAAAAATAATTCAATTTTATTGTGATATTTTTTTTTAAATTATAAACAATTGTTAAATTTCATAAAAATTTTAATTAAAAAATAATTTTGATATAATTGAATTTGTGATGTATTTCATTAAAATTATTAAAAATAATTAATTTAGTTCAATAATAATCATTTTAGTTCAAAATTTATTTAAATAATTGAATTGAGGAAGATCTGAAGAAGATCTACATTTTATACTAAAAAAAGGTATTTTAATGACATTTTTTTTCAAATGTAAAAAAAATATGTCGCATTTTATTAAAATAAGTCGATAAAAGTCGTATTTTTGAAAAAAAAAGTCGGAAAAAGTCGTATAATCCGAGGCCTGTAAACATATAATTTTCATTATTATCATTTAATATGTAATAATATTCTAATAAATTAAATTATTATTGATAATATTAATCTTTAATTTCTTTATAACAAACAATTAAATACTCAATTTGACGCTCTTGTGCGCGTTTAATTTTGCTAGTAACTATAATAAAATTAATAAAATAGAAAAAAGATTATTATTAAGTTCGTTTCAAGAGTAATCTGAATTTTATTGACTATACAGAATATATTATTTTCAAAATAAAATGTATTTCCTAAATTAAGAAATATTCTTTTCTAAAGAATACTTTTATTATTTTTTTCAAGAATATTATATTCCATGACAATTAAAATTTCTGGATTATATTTTAAAATATTTTATTATATTTATTTATTTATTATATTTTCTTTCATTTTTTCGGTGCAGAAATAAAAAAAAAAATTATAATTTTGTCTTACGTGCAGAAATACTA